TTCGAACTCAAAAGCGATTGGACAGTTGAAAAGGTTCCCTCGTGAGTTGTATTCATTCCGAAATCCTATTGGTTGAGCAGTAGCCAATATAAATCAAGTGTTTATAGAAAAGGTTTGCCTGGATAAGTTTTATGTCCCCACATTCTAGGATAACTCATCTGTCTCATTCACTTTTTGAACTCCACATAACTCTCGGATTTAAATCCGAGGTTTCCACATTTATTATTTATTTAAATTCATTTTTCATACATAAATAAATTTTTATACGAATAAAATTTTTTACTGATACTTATACTTAGGGCATACCAAAAGTAGTGTCACCATTACCAAATTCCCTTATAGAAAGGTTGAAAAAATTTTCTTTCTTTTACAAAAGATAGAGCGTCTTTCGCTCTATTTTTCTATGCTATTTGATCATACCTTAACTAATGTCATGATAATAAATTTTTGATAAGAATTTTTTCGTTACCATGTTTGCTGGTGGTACTATCTCACAATGAGTCAGACGGATTAGTTTTTTACTCCACTAATACATTGTATTAACAACCAAAATATGCCATAAGGTGCAGCGTGAAAAGCTCTTCAATATCCATAAGAGCACTCATTTTCTAGTTTCACTTTTTGTTTTCAAAACGGACAAAGTTTTGAGTGATCGAACTTTGGCCATTGTAAAAACTAATCGTATAGAATTTTCCTTTTTTTCAAAACGATTACGATAAACTTTACTGTGTAGATTGTAGAGCCTTTCACGCTACATCTTTTGGTGTATTTTGTTTTCCTTTAATAAAGCATATTAGATGATAAAATGATCAGATTACAAAAAATGAATTCGTCGTGTATCAAAAATATGATCTTTTTCCATGGCCGAAATTTGATCGCTCAAAATTTAGTCTATTTTAAGAACAAAAAGTGCAACTAGAAAATAAGTGGTCTTATGGATATTGTAGAGCTTTTCACGCTGCATCTTATGGCATATTTTGGTTGTTAATACAAGTAATAAGGAATTGAAAACTACAACATACAACTTACAACGAGTAAACATGTTAACGAAAAAAGTCTTATCAAAAATTTATTATCATGATACTAGTTAAGGTATGATCGAATAGCATAGAAAAATAGAGCGAAAGACGCTCTATCTTTTGAAAAAGAAAGAAAATTTTTTCAACCTTTCTATAAGGGAATTTGGTAATGGTGACACTACTTTTGGTATGCCCTAAGTATATAAAAAACTGACCATTTCATTTACTTTACTGATCAAAAATTATGTTTCCAAATAAAAGAAAAAACTTTTTTTTTCCTAATTTCGGAATATTATGAAGAATATACTTTTCCGTAGATGAATCAATCATTGCACACCATTGTTCATTGTACGTTTCATAAAATTTAATTAATTCATCAGTATTTTTAGATTCTTCTAATTGATTATATTCCGTTTCAAGACCAATTGCTTCTTGATAACTAAATTGAAAATTAAAAAACGAAATATACATATTTGTTGAAAAATTTAAAAAGAACATTTGGTTTTTACTACTGAACAAATTCGATATTTTATAGAAGGCTTAAGGAAATTTCTCTAGTCGGAATAGTGCTCTAAAATATTTTAGTTGATATAGTACTATTAGAATTTTGAACAAAGTTGTTCGTCCCTGATTTAGATAAATCAGAAAAACATTCGCTGTGGCACTTAAGTTCGTTCTAAACTATATTTTGTTTTCAGCGATCGGGTTTTATCTCTAAGAACAATTGAAAGACAATAGAAATGTTTCGTAAAAGTCGGGAATAAGTTGAAGACAAAGTATGATCCGACGGATCTGTAACCTGATGACATTTGAAAATATCAAACAGATCTATTTTCTTATTAATAATGATTCTTATATTACAAGTGATCTATTACAAGAGCAAACTGATCTGAGTCATGACATCATCTAACGAATAATCTCCGATCATTGTAAACGTAAGAAGATTACCACTCATTATATGTCACAACAACTGACTTAGTGGGTGATCATGAAAGATATGATTTGAATTATACCTAGGTCGATGATTCCAGTCAACGGATCCCACCGGAACCTGCAGGAATCGGCGCATTTTCCGGCTAATTCCCGCCAGTTCCCGTGCAATTCCTGCCGGAACTGACCGGAACAATACTGGAAAGGGGGCAGTATTCCGGCCGGAAAGTCACCGTACCAGGAACCAGTCAATTACAAAACTTTTCCGTGCACCGGAAAACGCCGGAAAATCCATCGTATCCATCACGGAATACACCGGAAACACACCGTATCCATCACGGAACACACCGGAAACACACCGTACCCATCACGGAACACACCGGACACACCGTATCCATTACGGAATACACCGGAAACACACCGTATCCATCACGGAACACACCGGACACACCGTATTCATCACGGAATACAGCGAAGACGTACCGTATCCATCACGGAACACACCGGACACGCCGTATCCATTACGGAATACACCGGAAACATACCATATCCATCACGGAATACACCGGAAAAATACCGTATCCACCATCTAGCGGAGACCATGCCTCAAAAAGAGTCATCCAGACAAAGGAAAATCGTCCTCCGAGGACATCGAACTTTCTTTCTTTTCAGAATGAACCCTAGCACATGGTACATCCCTATTTATAGGAGACACTATGTCTCAAAAGGCGTCCTCGCGAGGTAGGAAAATCGTCCTCCGAGGACTTCGAACTTTCCTTTATATTTCCCAATGAACCCTAGCACCTCGCCCGCCCCTATTTATAGTGGAGATCATGATTCAAAAAGAGTCATCCAGAGGTAGGAAAATCGTCCTCCGAAGACTTCGAACTTTGCTTTCTTTTTCCGAATGAACCGTAGCACATAGTGCACCCCTATTTATAGGGGAGACCATGTCTCAAAAAGAGTCATCGACAGGTAGGAAAATCGTCCTTCGAGGACTTCGAATTTGTTTTTTTTTTCAGAATGAACCCCAGCATGTGGTGCACCCTATTTTATAGTGCAAACCATGTCTCAAATGGAGTCATCGAGAGGTAGGAAAATCGTCCTCCGACGACTTCGAACTTTGTTTTTTTTCAGAATGAACCGTAGCATGTGGTGCAGCCTATTATATAGCGGAGAGCATGTCTCAAAAGGAGTCATCGAGAGGTAGGAAAATCGTCCTACGAGGGCTTCCAGCTTTGGTTTCTTTTTCAGAATAAACCCTAGCACGCGGTGCACCCCTATTTGTAGTGCAGACCATGTCTCAAAAGGAGTCATCGAGAGGTAAGAAAATCGTCCTCCGAGAACTTCGAACTTTGTTTTTTTTCCGAATGAACCCTAACACTCGGCGCAACCCGATTTATAGTCGAGACCATAAGTCAAAAAGAGTCATCGAAAGGTACGAAAATCGTCCTCCAAGGACTTCGAACTTTGCTTTCTTTTTCCGAATGAACCGTAGCACATAGTGCACCCCTATTTATAGGGGAGACCATGTCTCAAACAGAGTCATCGACAGGTAGGAAAATCATCCTTCGAGGACTTCGAATTTGTTTTTTTTTTTCAGAATGAACCCCAGCATGTGGTGTACCCTATTTTATAGTGCAAACCATGTCTCAAATGGAGTCATCGAGAGGTAGGAAAATCGTCCTCCGACGACTTCGAACTTTGTTTTTTTTTCAGAACGAACCGTAGCATGTGGTGCACCATATTATATAGCGGAGAGCATGTCTCAAAAGGAGTCATCGAGAGGTAGGAAAATCGTCCTACGAGGGCTTCCAGCTTTGGTTTCTTTTTCAGAATAAACCCTAGCACGCGGTGCACCACTATTTGTAGTGCAGACCATGTCTCAAAAGGAGTCATCGAGAGGTAGGAAAATCGTCCTCCGAGGACTTCGAACTTTGTTTTTGTTTCAGAATGAACCGTAGCATGTGGTGCGCCCCTACTTATAGTGGAGAGCCTGTCTCAAAAGGAGTCATCGAGAGATAGGAAAATCGTCCTCCGAGGACTTTGAACTTTGTTTTTTTTCCGAATGAACCCTAGCATGTGGTGCACCTCTATTTATAGTGCAGACCATGTCTCATAAGGAGTCATTGAGAGGTAGGAAAATCGTCCTACGAGGACTTCGAACTTTGTTTTTTTTTCCGAATGAACCGTAGCACATGGTGCACCCCTATTTATAGTGCAGACCATGTCCCATAAGGAGTCATTGAGAGGTCGGATAATCATCCTCCGAGAACTTCGAACTTTGTTTTTTTTCCAGAATGAACCCTAGCATGTGGTGCACCTCTATAATAGTCCTTCAGGACCTATGGATACCTCTATAGGATGGCCCTGGGGATCTATGGGTACCTCCATATAATAGCCCTTAAGGACCTATGGGTATCTCTATAGGATAGCCCATGGGAACCTATGGGTACCTCCATATAATAGTCCTAGAGGACCTATGGATTCCTTCATATAATAGCCCGTGAGGACCTATGGGTACTTCTATAGAATAGCCCTTGAGGACCTATGG